TGCAACTGTTGACATCAGCGGCAACCCGAAGTACTTGAAGATGTCGCCCATATGCAGACCATCGCCAATACAAGGTAAGTGCCGTCACATCATCATCATCATCATCCTTCGCCCTTCCCTGACATACACCCACACCTGTCCTCTCATACGTGAAGACCACCCCTGCGCCTCACTGTAGTCCAAGCCCACCAGCTATGGTGGCTGGGCTATGGCGCTGCCCTCAGCAGCGCCCTTCTTCCCTGCACGACCGCASGTGCTGCACCTCGCCTCTCAGCGCCAGCCAGCAGCCGCGAGCCTTTGCTCCAGCAGCGCTGCCGCTAGCATGCGAGTGCCTGAATGAGGCAGCCAGGGCAGAGCTCTTTCCTTTATGGAGAGAGTTGGCCTGCTCGGGCAGCCTGGCTGCACTGGCCTGGGCCCAGAAGCTTCCGGAAGGCCCCAGGAGGCTGCCTGTGTACAGCAGCTACTGGGCTGCTGGGCCTCGTTCGGTTGGGCGCCCAACTGTCTCTGTATGAGGCTGCGAATCACGCCCAGGGCCTGCATTCTTTGGAAAGGCCCGGAGGGCCGTGGAAATGTCTTTGTTGCTCGGCCTGTGTTTCTCTCAACCAACTGGCGGGTCGCAACTGCCTGGACCCCAAATATGAAATTGACAGTCGAGGGCCCCTTGCAAAAAGCCAGGCCCGCCTTCACTGAGGGCGGGCACCTCCGCCTTCACTTAGGGCGGGTAATGCTGCAAGCAGGGCCCCATAAGCCTACCGAGGACCCTGATCCTCGCATGTGCGTGTTGATCCAAGAAAGATACAGAACAAAATTTTTTTGAACCTGCTCAACACACCCATAGAGCGCAGGCAAGCACGTGTTACTCTAGATGCAAACACTGTACCATTGCTCGCTCTGTCAATCGGAATCTAACGAATAGGTTATTCAACCGTTTGTGGTTTTGATTCTGTTTGTTTGTTTGTTTGTTTGTTTGTTTGTTTGTTTGTTTTTTTTTTTTTTTTTTTTCGGTTGTTGCTTGTTGGTTTTTATTCTATCCTGCTCGCTGTCATATAATTTTCTCCTTGCTTCTGAGCCATGGGCGTTTGCTTGGTGAGTCGTGCATCTCCAAGATAGAGCTTGGCGACACTGAATGATTGTGACGCCGTTCCAAAGTTTGCATTGATCTTTTCGTTGCAGAGGCTAAGATACCCACCACAGCCCAGCCTACGTGGCGGCGGAATGGTACACAGTACTACACACATGTAATTGTTAACTTAATAGACAAGTCAGTTGAGGTCACGAGTTCGAACCCTGAAAAAGGAATCCGATGAATACAATAAGGTCAGTGGCTACGTGCTCTAGAGACTAGAACCAAAAAAAAAGCAGATGAGACACCTGCAACAGACATGCAACACCTGCAAAGACAACAAGGGACAAGCGATGTGGGAAAAAGATTGCATAATATGCATATCTATTTGCCTGATCTGTCCGCAAGCATTGGTGCACTTCAGCCATAGTGACCAGACATGGGCGTCTCCAACCATCTTTTGGACGAAGAGCTTGGAGCATTTTGTGATTCATGAGACGCAGAGCATAGCCAGACTACCGTCTTCACCCAAGTACAACGTCGGGTCATTATAGCGGTATCTGGACAGGAAGGTGGACCAAATACAGCTTTAATGACCGGGCGTTTTATTCGGGTGAATGCGGTAGGAGTTCCATGGGTGTATCGGACTGGAATTGAGGATGGTTGGGGACGTATCTGACCACAATTACGTCCATAGCTCAGTCCAAAAAGTCATAACCTACAGATTAGGTCTGGCAGATGAAATTACTACTAATAAATGGTTGTCACCATTTATCAGTAGTAATTTCATCATTTGTTGATGAATTCAATTTTAAATTTTTAATAGCAATCGCTAATTTGATACGACTTTCCATCTTATTAAATGGGCGCCTTTGCACTCTCGTCAAGGATCTGTCATCCTGAAGCAACGAGATTCTATGCATAGCAGCAGCAAATGTTTGAGGTCCATGTATCTGGTCCTGACATTGGAGGAGAGAAAAAAAAGAATAATTGGACCATTCCTCGATCTGTGCATGTCATCGTTTGACAGGGGCGTTAATCTTTTTCCGTACCTTACAGCGCCATCGGAACATTGTGTGGCACAGACATGCCAATGTTGTATCTCGCCCTGTGTCGCACAGGGAGAGTTGCAACAGCGCCTCTCTCTCTCTCTCTCTCTCTCTCTCTCTCTCTCTCTCTCTCTCTCTCTCTCTCTCTCTCTCTCTCTCTCTCGCTCGCTCGCTCTCTGTTCCGGCATCCCCGAGACGCCGGACCCTCGAAGGGCGACTGCCTCCGAGTCTCTCTCTCTCTCTCTCGCCCTCTCTCTCTCTCTCTCTCTCTCTCTCTCTCTCTCTCTCTCTCTCTCTCTCTCTCTCTCTCTCTCTCTCTCTCT